TGTGTGTGTGTGAACAGGAGGAGACGGCTGTGTGTGTGTGTGTGTGTGTGAACAGGAGGAGACAGCTGTGTGTGTGTGTGAGAACAGGAGGAGACAGCTGTGTGTGCGTGAGAACAGGAGACAGCTGTGTGTGTGTGTGTGTGCGTGTGTGAGAACAGGAGGAGACAGCTGTGTGTGTGTGAACAGGAGGAGACGGCTGTGTGTGTGTGTGTGGTGAGAGAACAGGAGGAGACAGCTGTGTGTGTGTGAACAGGAGGAGACAGCTGTGTGTGTGTGTGTGTGAACAGGAGGAGACGGCTGTGTGTGTGTGTGTGGTGAGAGAACAGGAGAAGCATCTAGAAGTGACCACAGCTCATGAGTGGCTTAGCTTCCTGGGTGGTTCTCCATCTACTTCTGATTTCTGCTACTGGAAACCAAGATTGCTATGTGGAGGACAATGTGACAGTTCCTCAAAAAGTTCAAATAAAGCTGGGCACTGGTCATTCACACCTGTAGTCATAGCTACTCAGGAGGCGGAGATCAGAAGATTACAAGGTAGTCCAGGTAGGAAAGTCCTAGAGATTCCATCTCCAAAATAGCAGCAAAAAGCAGGGCTGGAGGCATGAGTGAAGTGGTAGAACAACGGCTGAGCAAGTAAGCTAAGAAATGTGAGGCCCTTAGCCAGGCACTGGTGGCTCACACCTGTAATCCTAGCTACTCAGGAGGCTGAGATCTGAGGATCACAGCTCAAAGCCAGCCCGGGCAGGAACGTCCATGAGACTCTTATTTCTAGTGAGAAAACCAGAAGTGGCGCTTTGGCTCAAGCTGTAGAGCGCTCACCTTGAGCTGAAGAGCTGAGGGATAGCTCTCAGGCCCAGAGTTCAAGCCCCATGACCCACCAAAAAAAAAAAAAAAGAAATGTGAGGCCCTGATTTCTAGCCCTGGTATTCACATACAAAAACCATTAAGCAGAACTGCCAACTGAACCTATGGGCCACGCCTTGGTGTCTACGACAGCCACAGTGCAGAAGCAACCACAGGCCGGGTATCTAGACAAAAGGAAAAGCAGACTGTACTATACCAGCGGACGCTTGTCAGCCAGCCTTCCCAAGGAGGTTCCGCCACACACCACACCTTGGATGAGGCTCCACTGCGCCATGTGAAGCAAGTCAGGGTACAGAAGGGTAAATGCTAAGCCCGCTCCCAGGGTCCTCAGAGCACACAGAATCAGTGATGGGGACCACGAGTGGGGCCCAGGGTGGTGGGGGGCTGGGAGCTGGGTGCTGGGGTGGTGGGGGCTGGGAGCTGGGGTGGTGGGG